CATTAAATTATCGAAAGAATTGGAATATCGAATTTTGGATCGAATTAAACAATCGATGAGTGAAGCGGTTGCAATGGCACATGAAGAGGAAAATCAAAAATTAATGCAAAGTATTCATTCACACATGATAAATGCACAACCATCATCCGCTCAAGGAGTGTCAAATGTCAATGCCACCACAACACCACAATCGTTTATTAATACTCAAGCCATTGTCCCTGGAGGTAAGTTTGTGTATAAGTGTTACAATTAGTTCAAGTTTCATTTATTCATTGTGTACAAACTCTCAATTAATGATTGAAATTTCAAAAAATTTAAAATCCTCTGAAATGATTCAGTTCTTCCAACTCAAATTTTGAATGCACCTTCAAGACCACCAAGTCCTAGCTCTGCCTTTGGTGGACTACCCAGCACCAATAACACTTCTACAGATCATTCGAATGACAACACCTCTTCTGCTGGCGATTTAACACCTCGTGACAGCATTGAAGATCCATTTGCTTCTGAATCCTTGTCATCGAATCAAAGAAAATTCTCCAAAAACGAAACCATCATCACTATATTAATTATTTTGCAGAAATTGAACACAAATTTACTCAACAACCAAGTTGTGTGGTGAGTGTGTTGGGTTTCAAAAATTGTGGAAAAACTCATGTGTTAAATGAATTAAGCGGAAGTGATTTACGTGTGGGATTGACACAAAGTACTCCTCCATTGTGTTTCAAAGTTCCAAGAAATAATCAAGGAAGAGATTGGTTGTTGGTCGATACGATGGGATTGAGAAGTCCAATACGTATTTCAGAAATTAAGAGACAATTGAAAGAAATTCAAAAAGACAATATGCTACCTCAGGAAGATATTGTTGTGACGACGAGTGTGATCACTACTAATAATCCACAAGCTTCTCAAGAACAATTTCAAATTCCTGCCAATAATTCTCAAATGAATTTCACAATGAGTAATAATAGCAACATGATTCCATTGGTGGTCAAGAATATGTCGTCTTCATCATTATCACGTCCATTGTCTACCTCAACTGCTGTTCCTGCAATTAATATGAGCTCCATGATGCAACAACAGTCACTCACTATTCATCAACAGCAACAGTTTGCACATCATCGATGGGTAGACACAGAACAGAAATTTCAACATCAATGGAATGAAGCCATTGAAAGGACAGTGAGAGAGAAGAAAATGATGGAAGATGTGATTCAAGAACTCTTGTTAAACATGTCACACTTTATTTTATTTGTTGTGAATGAAATGTCATGGGAAGAGTACCAATTATTGTATGAATTATTGTACAGAAGAGATCATGGGATTAATCCAACCACTGGTAAACCAAGAAAGATTACATTTGTCGTAGTTCACAATTTCAAGGAATGTGACACAATGGATGATTTTAACAAGATGGTTCAAAAATATGTCGTTGAAGCATTCCCTGGAGAGTTGAGAAGTAAGGAAGTGAATATCGTTGGAAGTAATTTATCAGGATCAACTAATACATCTGGAAATGTTACAACTGTTGGATTTGCTCCATTCTATACTTCTGGAAGCGGAAACTGTGTCGTGAATCATGTGTTCTTGGCAAAGAAAGAATCAGAAATCGGACAAAAGTATAATCCATTAACCTATGCATTGATTAGAATTTGGCTGGCCTCCCAATCTACTGAGAGAATTCACTGTATGACCTCTTATTTGACAAGTCATATTCAAGCTTCTTTGCAAAATCATATTGAGAATATTAAGGATGTCCAAATGACATTTAAGGTGAAGAAGGGACTTTTGATGACAATACTTTAATGATGAACACAAATAATGTCAGCAACAACATTAATGCCTCCAACACCAATTCTAATAGTGGCGGATTATTGAGCTCATGGGCATCCAGTATGATACGAGGCAGCAGTCCAAGCGGCACTGGCAGTGACATTAAGAAAAATCCAACATCACAAACAGCCCATATTGTTCCATCTTCCATTGGCGAATTTATTGTGAAATTCTTGCCTGAAGATGAATGTCAATTGCAATATCGTAGTGAAACCAATAATGATAACAATGTTGCTAACGTGGTTGGAATGTATACAGGTGGAGGCGTGCAAATTCCAAAGAAATCTGAAGAAGAATCGAAATCTGCTGAACCACGCAATTGAGTTGACAGTAGGCTCGTAATTGCATTATGTTTGACTGATCCTCCACTGAAAATCTCAATTAATCAAATCGTCAAGTTCTTTTGGAAAATTGACGAGTTCTTCTTTCCTAAAATTGCAAAGTAAATATTCTCAAACTTGTTGTGAAAGTGAGGTTCTTTCAACACTTCATGGAAACACTTGGACACAATTACAGGGTCACTAAAAAGAGTCACACAACAAATTGCAAACTGTTACCAATCAAACATGAATGTGCATACCAAATACTTACTTTAGAAATGCTCCACATCCCAATGCCCCCAGAACCAGATCAGTATGGCCTGTTTTCAAAGCAGCCAAAAGCACAATTCTAATTTTCAACTTGGTATCTTTGATGAACTTTTCTTCATTAAAGTTGTTGGACGAATCAAAATAATCCAGAACATCAGTTTCGCGAAACCATTTGCGTCTTAAATCTACAGCACCGCATGCCACCACGTCAATCGTTTTAACATTTTCAGTCAAAGCATAGTCGTTCGTCTCTTCGAATTTTCTAATGATCGGCACTCCTGATGACACAATGGCTCCAAATCTTGGGATGTGATGTGTGATATTGTTAGGATCGCTCACTCTGGAAACAAGTTGTTGTTTTAAATTTTCATTATGTTGCGGATCTAAACTGTATCTATACACTGCACTTTTTCTTTCAATAAATTCCTCTTCATGTTTCAATTTTCAAAATTATTATGTTTAGCATTTACGCTAATTCCTGCAGTATAGAGAATGGCTTACCTTGACTACCCAAATATGGATGCCAATACTTTCCACACACATGTTCGCAATGTCTATTTGCTTTTTGATCGATCATGCAAAATTTTCAAAACCCAATTTTCAAAATTGAAAGCAGCCATTCATCATCATGTTCATCAAAACCATAAATTTAAAAATCTCAAATCAATCACTCATTCCAAGAATATCATCATAATTACCTAAATTCAATACCAATGGTTTCCGATGTGTTTTCTCTTCCAACTCTAACGCAACTTGCAAACAATCAGCATCTAAAACCTTAACCCCGGAACGATTGGATACTTCATTCTGCTTCTCCTCTTGTTTTTCAAAATAGTTCCGTAATTCCTCATGAGCCTTCTCTTCATCATCATGTCCAAACAGCAGAGTTCCTTGTTGCATCGTTTTGATACATTCCGAGAGATCAATCTGTTGATGATGAACATAATAACTCTTTTCCTCAAATATTTGTTTATTCTCTGAGAGAACGGATCCAGGTAGACGCGTAAAAGGTAAGAAATTGAGCCATGAATAACGATGATCCGTTGTTCCTTCTGAATTTACTTTGGACATTTTTTTGTAAAATTATTGATCGAGTTTACAAAAATTGTTCCAAGTACATTTTCTATAGTTAGCGTTGTTGATGGAATTGTGAACTCGATCAATCATTTAAAAAGGAGAAGGACACAGAAAATGTATGTACACACTGCTGAAAATTCTCTCTTCTCTCAAATAATGTCACATTTCATTTTGTATTTCTCCACAGAAGAGGGAATTCGAAACATGTACTCGAGTAGATATCTCTGTTCCACATTCTCTTTCGTGAGTTGACCCTTCATGATTGGATAATTCCTAGAGGGTTCATTCTTGACCAATACATATCCAAATTTCCCTTGCAAGCTAAAAGTAATGTAATGATATTCTCTACAATACAAGACTGTGAGAATTTCACCTTCTTGTTCTTGATAGGAACGAGGAATAAATTTGGTTACAATTTGCAAAGCTTTTTCTTTGGTGAGTATGGGAATGTCGATCATTTCTCCGCCATGGTGATACTTATCAGGTTCAATATTAATGAAAGTTTCTGAACTAATTATTGGAAAGATCATGCTCGTGTGGTGAATGAGGTGATAAATACTTGAATTTAGTTTAAATGATAAATCTCTCCTATGTGAAGTCCTATGATATTTCATGATGAGATAATTCAAGTTGGTGAGACGTTCAAAATTCATGTGTTTTAAAATTTCAGATAAAACTTGGTTCTCGTTTGAGAGATTCAAATAGGTGAGAGAGGGCATATTTTCAATGAAATGCAAATGGTCACGAAAGTTGGAATCAAGAAGGGCTTGTGAAAGATTGAGTTGTTCTAATTGCATGTTTTTCAGAATTTGTAAATTCAATTTTCCTGATTTCATATTCGTAATGGTGAGTTCTTTCAATTTTAAGAAATGTTCTTCTTTAGGAGTGTAAAAGTATGGTGTTTCTGGAAAGAAGCACGAATTAGATTCGAGAATTGTCAAATTTGGAAATTTCAATAGAGAGTGAATATTTTGAATTCTGCAATTGTGGCATTGTAATTTTTCAAGCAGAGGTAAAACATGGATAGTTTCATTCTCAAGAGATGGTATTTCCACGTGATGAAACGTGCATGTTCTCAATAATTTAAAAACTTGGAAAAACTCAATGTCCATTTTAGGTAATGTATCAAGAGATTTCAATTGAAAAGTCAAATGTGTCATGGATGGAGGAAAAGTATTTGTTTTGGGTTCATATTTAGCAGATTCTACATTAAATATTTTCACATTCTCGAGATTAATTCGTATAGCAGATTGGCATTGGACACCAATCAAGTTCATGTTAAATTCCGAACAAGTGGACGACATTTCTGTGAAATGGTTGACATTCGACAAGTCCTGCACTTCAAGAAGTGTAACTGTTATTCGTCTGCAATTTGATAATTCTACATTCAGTTTTGGTATCACTTCATTGAATTCCTCATTTTCGAGAGCATTCATTGAAAACTCAACATCTTTGATCGTTTTTGAGACAATTTAAGGTAATCAATGAATTGCAAAACATGAGATTTCGATCTCAATACAGTTGTTGAGTGAAAGAGACTCAACTTTCCTTTTTCAAACAAAGATCGGCAACTTGTCAACACCAGTTCAGGATCAATACTATTTCCAATCTTGAGTTTCAACTTTTCTAACTGTGAAAACTGATTCAATGATTGACAAGCTTTGCATGCAAAATCTGGCCACAATGAAATCTTCAACGAAAGAGATTTCAACCATTCCGAACATTCTTTCACAATTTCATGAAACAGCAATTCTTGATTTCTATGAAAAACTATATCGACATGTTGTATCGTACTCGAATGATCTTTTAGAAAATCTCTAAACTTTTTCACCTCCAATTCCGAGATGATCTTTTCCTTCAAATGAATCGAATCTTCAATTTCTAAATATTTCAACTGCGAATAATATTTCGACATTAAATCCAAACGTTGTAAATGTGATTGTGAAAAATTCCAATACAATCTCGTATAGGCATAAGGTTTATGAGTGAGTCGATGGAAATATTTCGAACACAAGGAAATATTCCATAATACAAAAATCGATCTAAAAATTCAATCACTGTGATGAGAATATCTTCATTTTCTAATAATCGTTGAAATGGATTGTATATTTGGTGTTGCTGAAAATTTTGAACACTTGAAGATGTGATCGGAATGGAAATTGTGTCCCATTTGGTACTTTCCGAAGTGTCATTCTCATCCTCAATGACATTCTCTTGATGATCGTTCGATGGTTTCTTTTGCATTTTTTTTGGAAAATTTGTTCTCAAGTTCATTGTTCTTGTCGTTTCTTGTGCATTGGTATTTGTTTTGTGAGTTCATTTCATTGAGCTGAAAATGTTAAATGTTTATATTGAGTTAGATGTTGAAGCATGGAAATAGGATATATACTCATGATGGGTATTCATATTTGTTGTCATTAACTGTTTGGCATTCTTTTTAAAACATGGCAATTATTACATGAATATTCCATTTCTTGAGGGAGCGAGAAATTTGAGTTTGGTGTTGCGATTAGATGGTGAATGGTTTGGTGTTGAATTAGGACTTTTTCTAGGTGTTCTGGTGGATGATAAGTGACAGAACGAATGCGAGGAGTGTAAGAAGTGATGGAGATGCATCCAACATGTTCTCCATTCTGCTCCACTTCATCATTCTTCTGAGGGTCAGCTCTCTGGTGAATGAATTGACTTAATTGAGCTCTTTTGTAAAATTCTAATTCTCTCATCTGATCTTCATATAATTGTTTCATGAGATTCAATTCTTGTGTGAAATGTTTCTTGTCCTGTTGAAGTTCTTTCTCGAATTCCCTTAATTGTTGAATTTCGAGTTCTAATTGATCGATTTTTGAATCCTTTTGTGAATCTTCATTCTGTAGTTCCTCTATTTGATTGGAATAACTGCTTTGAATGGATTGTTTGATTGTGTCCAATTCTTGGTCATATTCTTGTTGTATGGTTTCATTCTTTTTTCTAGTTCCAACAATTCTGTTTCCAATTGCATGATTTGTGTTTGCATTCTCATTTCAATGGCCTTGCAATGTTGTGACAGAGAGTTGTTTTCTCTCGTTCGAAGAGAAACTTCTTTTCTCAATGTTGCAATTTCAACCTCTTGTTGACCAATAAAACTTTTAAGTGACAATGAATTTTCAAAATATTGATCTTGCAATTGTCTCTTCTCTAAAGAAGCATTTAATTCAAACTCTTTCAATTCTAATTCATAATGTTGCGTTATTTCTTCCACTTGATTCTCAAAATTTTCTTTGAGAGTAGAATTTTCAAGTTCAATTTCTTGAAACGAATCTTTCAGTGATTGTATGGATGCATCTTGTTGTTGTAATTCTTCCTTTAACTGTTCGACGATACATTCGAGTTCTTGAGCATATTGATGAAGATTTTCATGTTGTAATTTCCATAATTCTTGATCTTGACTGTGTCGATCTTTGAGTTCCTTCACGAGCTCATCTCTTAATGCAATCTCTTGATCTTTACTTTTCATCATCTCTGCAAAGAGGTTCATCCATTGTTGTTCTTGTTGTTGTTGCTGTTGATTGCATTGAACTTGTTGTAAAAGTTCCATATTCAAAGTGTTGAACCTCTCAATATTTGAATTTAATTTCTGTCCAATGGAATTCATTTCTTTTCGAAATGTTCACATGCATGTCGAGTTTCCTGCTTTTGTATTTGCAAGGAGCTTTCCAATACATTGGTGACGTTCCTTTCATGCTGTTTGACCATTTGCAACAATTCTTGAGAAAACTTTTCCCATTCTTGATGATGATCCTTCGATGGGTTGAGTGGATGATGGTGACACCACTCAAGCAATTCATTCACTCGAACAAACTGTTCGGAAGAGTGCTGATTCTTTTCTTCATTGAATTGTTGACGTAATTGTTGTGTCAATTCTTGAAAACTTTTTTCAAAAACTTTTCAAATCATTTCCATACAACACCTCCTTTTGTCTCCGAAGATCAATAATTTCATTTCTCAATAGTTGTTTTTCCTTTTCATTCTCCACGAGGTAGTTCATCCAAATTTGAAGAGGTGGTTGTGGTTGAAGGAAGATCTGAGAAGGAAGGTGTTGTATTGTATTTCGCAATGAATGATGTAGGGCATAATGTGCTGTTGGTGATGTTGGAAGTGAGTGGCATTCGAAATGATCATTGACAGACGATGAAACATGATCATTGATACAAGTGCTTGTGGAAGGTATTGTTGTGGTTGGGTCTTTGAAGTCTGGAGAGCTTGGAAGTGTTTGGGAGATGTGAGGGCTGTGGTTCATTGTTTTTTGTATTTTGAATGTCTCTTGTCAATGAATGTTTTATCTTGTAAGGAAAATCCATTATTGAAATAAAGAAGGAAAAAATACCTAATATCATATTTGATAAATGAAAACTCGTTGATTTTAAAATGATCATTTATGAGGAAATGTGTGAAAGCATTAAATGTCCATAACATCTTCCAAATCCTCATTATGACTGAATAACATTTGTTTCTCAGCCAAACCCTTGTAAATACCATTCTCAATTTTCATCAACTCGTCGTGAGTACCAGTTTCCTTGAGAACACCCTTAGCCAATACACAAATCTTGTCTGCGTTCTTAACTGTGGACAATCTGTGAGCAATACAAATGGTGGTACGACCTTTCATCAAGTGATCCAAAGCAGCTTGGACCAAAGCTTCAGATTCAGTATCCAAGGCAGAGGTAGCTTCGTCAAGGAGTAAAATTTGAGGATTTTGAACGAGGGCTCTGGCGATGGCGATTCTTTGTTTTTGACCACCTGATAATGACACACCCTTTTCTCCCAATATTGTGTTATATTTTGTGGGAGGTCCATAATAAAGTTGTGACAATTGGCAGCTCGAGCAGCTTCCTCCACTTGTTGAGGAGTGACATTCTGTTCTCCCACTGCATAAGCAATGTTGTTATAAATGGAGGTAGCAAACAAGACTGGTTCCTGAGTGACAATTCCAACATTTCTGTGCAACCACATTGGATCAATTTCAGAAATGTCCACTCCATCAATGTAAACTTTTCCTTTCGCTGGTTCGTAGAATTTTTCCACTAATCCGACAATGGTTGACTTTCCTGAACCTGATGGGCCAACCAAAGCGACCGCTTGACCTGGTGTAATTTCCAAACTAAAATCTTTTAAGACTGTGACATTTGGTCGAGATGGATAAATAAAATCGACATTTTCGAAACGAATATTACCCTTCACAACATCCAAAGTTTTTCCTCCCTTGAAAGTGATGGCAGGAACTCTCTTAATAATCTTGAGGATAGCTTTTGTGAGACCATGGCCTTACCAAAATCAGGGAAGAAGGAACCAGCTTGGCTGATACCAATAATGGCAAACAAAGACAATCCAAAGACCTTCAACATGGCACCCACGTCCATAGTCTTGTCAACGACCAAACCACCTCCATACCAAAATGCCAAAGCAGTAGTTCCCCACAAAATACCAATTAAAGCACCAAAAGTAATACCCTGAGCAACGGATTTTCCAATACCAGCCAAATACATTTTTCTCAAATCTTTGCCATATCTGGCACGTTCCTTCTCTTCACCAGCCATACTTCTCACTGTTCTCATGGAGCTCATAACTTCAGTGGCAATGAAAGCGCTGTGGTCGTTGGCCTTATTGATTCGAGCCGTCAAAGATCGGATCACACCTCCCAAAATAACAACTCCTCCAACCATGAGAGGCAGGAGTGGAAACTCACTACAAAAGTCATTTGCCAACCACTGGTAAAAGCCAACACGAGACCAATGACGAATTGAGTAAGGTTTTGGAATAAGGTTGCAATTTTCACCGAGTAAATCTCTTGAACTCTGTTCACGTCTTCAGACAATGTCACAGGAGGGCCTCCTAATTTTCTTTTGATATCGAAAAAGCCCATTTCTTGTCTTGTAAGAGCATCAAAATAAGCTCCTCTCACATTCATTCCGATTCTTTCAGAAGCCCAGTTCAAAAGAAATCTTTCAAAAGTTTGCAACAGCTGCACCAGCAGCAATAATTGCAAAATAGGAGGCATACTTGGAGACACCATCTTTCATTTCTTGTGGCGGCACCAATGAACCGTCTGCACGGACAGGTGTAAAAACGTTAATGAGCTATTTTTGTGTATAAATAGAGTTGACATGAGAGGAGATTGAGATTCCAATAAATGATGATGATTCAAATTTGACACACTCGGCACATGTACTTACATCTCCGATAAGAAATTGGAAAGACAATGGAATAACACCAGCACCCATGGCTCTATTGTAAAGTTAGACAACGTGAGTGAAGTATTATTACAATACACATTTACGTTGGCAAAGGCACAGTGTTCGTAATGAAAAGTTTAAAAGTTATCCATCATCCTCTTTGGTTGACAATGAATTTCAACAACTTACCCAATGATACCAATGAACACCAGTATCCAGTTCCATCCGATAATTTTGTACATGGTAAAAGCATCTTTGAATTTTAAATTAGGTTCTCTCACGTCAGGAACTTCTTCATCAGGTCTGCTCTCGGCTTCTTTTTTGTTTCTTTTT